GGTCACTACAGTAGATTTGAATTTTTTTTATTCAGATCCTAATTCTTCTAGTTCCTACTTTATTGTGCATTTTATGATTTTAGTCACATTGATGGTGTTCAAAAGGGTAGGATAATGAGAATATTATGACAGATTTAATATGATACAGTTGGTAATAGAGGTTATAGCTAATGATCTCTACTGAATATGAGATTCTTAAGTTTCAAAACTTGGCAATATGAAATTCATCTAGCGGATAAGGCATTCGATGTTATGTTCAAATGAGATTCTAAAAGAAACAGAGGAGGAAAAAACATACCTTAAGTCGTTAATTCACACGTACATATGCGGGAACAAAATTACACCAGTCAAACTTCGTTTGGGTACACAACAAACACACTCTCTGAGAGAAAAACCTTGTAATGAGAAAAATGAGACTGATGAAAAACCGAGAGCATTCTGTGTTTCTCTTTTTGTAGAGAAAACCGCACCCATAACCAACTCTTATGGGAACGTGCGGCAGTTTCTCCAACCGCCCAGGTTTCAAATTCAAAGGTTGGAGAATATTACATTTTAAGGCCCTGAGTAAATTGCATTTTAAACCCAAATGTTTTTCATAATTCTCATAAGAGCCCCATTCTCCAATTTGGGCTTTTATATAGGCCTGAGCCACCAAGGGTGGATAACCCAACATCTCCCACTCATACTTGGTGGAGAAGATAATGTCAGTTCTATCTCTTTCTCTTTCCTCTCTTCATACTAGGTGCTTTGTCGTGATCGCATAGGCTTGACGTCTTCATTTCAGTTATTTGTATTAGCGAATCCTATTAAGGACCAGCACAAATAACTTTAAAGTTGATTTTATTCTAGATTAAATTCGTGCCTTAATGTCCTAGATTTATGAATATACACTTTTTCTCATTATGACTAATCTGATCCCTCTTAAGTCAGTCCAAGACTCAGATAGTTCTTCTTATATACGTAGGATCCACACTTATGAATTCACAAATTATTTCATAAGGGACATGTCTTGAATACGAGTATAGATGTGTATATTTAAGATAATCTTCTTTTTGTCCATATACCACTTTGATAGGAAACAGTCGCTTTCCTAACATGAAACCTTCAGGTCGCATCAATCATGACCATAGGGTGCATGTTAAAGTAGCAGACACTGTAATATATCTCCATGATAATGTCAAAGTCAAAGGATATCAATGAAAGGATTTTTTCCTTTCTGGGACTCACACAGCAATGAAGCAGGGATTTATTCACTTGCTTCCCATTGCGATTCTTAAGCACATGTGGTATGAAACACATGTTATGGTATTACTCTTGCTTATAAGAGTATACGTCATTTTCATTTATTATTAGCACCATACAAACATAGGTTTAGATATTCATTGTATCTAAACCCAAATTCTTCTTTTCTATTGATCTCACATGACGTCAATTTAGAAGAATTTATCGTTTGGCTACAAGTATCATGGATATGGGGATCTATGATTTGATCCAAGTATGCTTACGGATCTCATCTCAACTTTCTCTTTGATCGAGGTGACATATGATTTGTGTTTCTTTTCTACCAAATTAACATTTTTGTTGCCTTACTGGTGAACACTAATGTCTCATCTTTGATTTCAATATCAAAGGTAGTTGCTCGTGTGAGAGAGTGAACCTTATCAACCTGTACGACATACTAGACATTGTATATTCTCATTTGTACACATATAGAAGTAATAATAAAAAAAATTATTAATATAACCAATATATTACATCAAGTCAATCTAGCCATGCCAAGAGCCCTTATATGTTTCTCAAATATCTCCTTAGCTATGGGTTTTGTTAGGGGATCTGCTATCATACATTTTATGGAAATGTATTGAACAGTGATAACCTTTTATGCTATATAATCCCTTACAAAATTGTACTTAATGTCTATGTGTTTAGTTTTGTTATGATATTTAGGATCTTTGGTATAGGCTATGGCTGCAGTATTGTCAGAATGAATTAACACTGGATTTGTACTTTCATTTCCAAACCCAAGATGTTCTATAAATTTTAAGCTATATAGCCTCTTGCACTGCTGCAGTACATGCTACAAACTCAGCTTCCATAGAGTGTAGGGCAATGCATGTCTGCTTCTTACTACTCCAATAAATGGCCCCATTGTTTAGCAAGAAAGTGTAGCCTGAAGTTGATCTTCATTCATCTTCATCTCCGCCTAAATCCATATCAGCGTATCCTGTCAGGCGTAGATCACTCCCTTGATAACACAGTGCATAGTCAACAGTACCTTTTAAGTATCTTAAAATCCTCTTTACAGCTTTCTAATGTCCTTCTTTGGGGTTGGATTGGTAGCAACTCACAAGTCCTACGGCATAATAGATATCTGGTATTGTACACATCATTGCATACATCAAACTTCCAACTGCACTGGCATATGGAACTCTTTCCATTTTCCTTTTGACCATCTCAGTTTTAGGACCTATATCAGGACTAAGCTTCACACTTGAAGCTATTAGGGTATCCATGGGTTTACAATCTTTCATATTAAAACGTTCAAGAATCTTTCTTATATAAGTCTCTTGCGACAGATAAAGAAGCTTCTTAGAGCGATTTCTTTGAATTTTAACTCCAAGAATATATTCTGCTTCACCCATCTCTTTCATTTCAAAATTCGATGAAAGCCATTCTTTAATAGCGATTATTGAATCCAGACTATTTTTTGGCTAGTAAAATATCATCCACATAAAGAGATAATATTACAAAGTTTTCATTGAACTTCTTGATATAAACACAGTGGTCTTCCTCAATCATTTGGAATTTATATGAGATTATTACTCTGTGAAACCTCAAATACCACTGTTTGGATGATTGTTTTAGTCCATAAATTGATCTATTTAATTTACATACTTTATTTTTTTCCTTTTCCAATAAAACCTAATGGCTGTTGCATATAAATTTCTTCATCCAGAACACCGTTAAGAAAAACAATCTTTACATCCATCTGGTGCAACTCTAAGTTCAGACTATTTACTATTTCCAGAATCAATCTAATAGAATTGAAGCGTACAACAGGAGGAAATGTATCCTCATAATTTATTCCTCTTGTTGTGTATACCTTTTTGCTACTAAGTGAGCCTTGTATTTATCAATTGATCCATCCATTTTTCTTTTGATTTTAAGAACCCACTTGTTCCCAATAGCCTTTCGGCCACGTGGTAAATTAACTAATTTCCATACTTTGTTAGTCTTCATGGAATCCATTTCTTCATCCATTGCTTTCTTTCACTTATCTTTAGTAAGTCCTGATAAAGCTTCATTTACAGAACATGGCTTATCATCATCTAGAGGAGTTACTATCACTGCTTCACCCTCAATTTAAAAGCGTCTTTTTGGCACACTTTCTCTATTACTTTTTCGAAGTAGGGTCTCTTGTGGATTTTGATTCTTTTTAGGTCTTCTGAAAGACCTTTTAGAGCTCCCACTTAAATCAGCATTTTGTGATGATTCAGGCCTTTCTATAAGTTTTATATTATGTTGCTCTCGTGCCTCGCAAAAAGATATAGTTTGATCAATTTCTCCCCCACTAGGAAACTCATTTTTTAAAAATGTGATATTCCTAGATTTAAATTTAGTTACAGTTCCATCATCATTTTCACCAATGAAAACATAACCCTTTAATTGCTTAGAGTATCTTATAAAGATACATTTCTTTCCTCTTGGACCTAACTTTCCATATTTATGGGAATCATTATGGGCATATACAGCTGACCCCTATGGTCTTAAGATATTTAAATTTGGTTTGCATTTTGTCCATAACTTATAGGGTGTGGAAGTAATTGATTTTGAGGGCACACAATTAAGTATGAAAGCTGTATTCAGTAAAGTATCCCCCCAACATGAGATTGGGAGATTTTCTTGTGCCATCATTGACCTAACCATGTCTAGAAGAGTCCTATTTCTTCTTTCAATAACTCCATTCTATTGCGGAGTGCCAGGAATAGTTAGTTATCTAATTATTCCTTTTTCTTCACAGAGTTCTTTAAATTGATCAGACAAGTATTTATGTCCTCGGTCAGTATGTAATGCTTTAATTTTATTGTCCATTTGATTTTCAACCTCATTAATGTATCATCTAAAACACTCAAGAGCTTCAAACTTTTATGATATCAAATAAACATGACCAAAACATGAAAAATCATCGATAAAGGTAATAAAATACCAAGCTCCGTGTTTTGCCCTTATACTCATAGGACATATATTAGAATGGATTAATTGTAATGGATTTTCAGCCCTAACACCTTTACCAAAAGGTTTTCTTGTTGCTTTACTAGTTAGAAAAATTTTCACATAAGGACATTTCCATATTTGTAATTGGACCTAGCATTCCTTCTTTAGCTAGCTTAATCATTCTATTTTGATTAATATGCCCCAGTCTAGCATACTAAATATTCATATCTATATTATTAGAAGAGGTGGTAAAGCAATCATGAAAATGAACTTGGTCAACAATATCCATTATAAAGAACCTATTTGAAAGAAAAGAACAACCATAAAAAGTTGAATTGTACATAATGTCAACAATCTTGTTATGAAAATTAATTACAAACCTAAATTTTAAAAGGCAAGCAATTGAAATTAAGTTCTGTCGGATGTCCGGTGCATGTAAAACATCATGGAGAATTAAGGTTTTTCCACCTTGCAAGGTCAACTTGCAAGTTCCTATGCCTTTTACCTTAATCCTCACATTGTTGCTAACGTAAAGCCACTTGCTTTGATTTGGCAACCGACGGTACTCTACGAAGGATCCATGATCCTTGCTTATGTGGTCTGTGAAGCCTGAGTCTACAATCTAAGAAGAGAAAACAGTTTTCGTTAGAAAAACATTACTGGAAATATAAGAAAAATGTGAATTCACATAATTCACAAGTACCTGATCACGTCCACTTTGCTCAGGACAGTCTTTTGCAAAATGGCCCATCTTTTGACAAGCAAAACATTTGACCTTTTTAAGGTTAATTCTCTTTTTGCCTCTTTTTACCCTTTTTCTTGAAAGGTTGTTTATCCTTCTTTACTCTAGGGCCATTCTTATTACCCTTCTTATGTTGTTTCTTGCCTCTTTTGGGCTTAGAATTTGAAGGACCACCTTCCTTGACAAGGTAAGTCTGTTCAGATGGCTTGTAAGCCTCCAGACGTTCAGCCTCTAGCTCCAGGTGTTTAGCCACATCGTTAAAGTTAACAATATTTTCATTGTGGGTTAAGTTAACTTTCATATGCTCCTAGCTGTGTGAGAGCGATCTGATTATAGCCTGTACTTGCTGTTCGTCAGAAAGATTGTGCCCGACTTCTTTAAGTTCACGAATCATGTTAGCCATCTCTCTAAGGTGCTGCCGTATGGGAGTATTTTGCTTTAATTTATAAGTGTCGAATTTAATTGTAAGCCTTCTCAGTTTGGTGGTTGAGGTACCACCAAATTTTTCTTTTAAGGCAGCTCACATGGCTTGGGCAGTGGAGTGCTTCTCAAATTCGCACATCAGATCATCCGCCATAGCACTTAGAAGTGTTATTCGTGCGATGCTATTTTTTTGTTTCCATACCTCAAATGCCTCTTAGTCTCTCCTATGCTGAGCCGAGTTTCTTGCCTCAGGCTCGGCCATGACTTTAGTCAATGGCTCAACAGCATCTTGTTTTTTCAAAATATATGACACCTTATGATGTTAGATATCCCAGTTATCCTCGTTTAATTTGTCACCCTTATTCAATTGAGCGATAATGCTTTTTGTTGCCATTCTTAGTTCTGAGACGAAACTATCCCACATTAATAGTTTTCTATATCAAACCAAGAATAAAATACTTATGAGAAACATACAATGTCTTATATTTGTATTATTCTTTATTAGAGTAATGATAACTCTATTAGGTCAACGATCAGGAGGCTACGTTTGTATCTCCCATCACATTGATTTTAATAAAATCACTATCATCTATAAAGAATTTTACAAATATTTTAATCGTTACATATGGCTCATAAATGATCTATTACTTTAGAGCTCCCACTCAAATAAAGTGTATATAAAGCAATTAAATATAAAACAACATGCTTCATATATTTCATAAATCATCAAGGTCTTAATATAGCATAAAAAAAAATTAGAACAATAGAATAATGCTTAAGGTACAGACCTAAAAAAGACGACTCTTAATTATGTCTTTATATTTTTCTTGTACTTTCATCTCCTTGATGGCTCTATTCCATAGAGGATTTCTAAAGTATGACTTGTTTCGCTTGTTATGTTGCACAAGCTCTTTCCTAAGTTGTTTAAAAATTTCTCCTATAACCACGGCTTGTCTTCTTTCATTATGAAGCTTGAATATGCTCTGACTATTGGAGAAATTTGATCCGATTTTTTTTATTCTTTTAGCTTCTCTTTTTGCTATATTTATGATCACTGAGGATGTGAAAGGTTGTTCAACATCTTCATTTTCATTTTGAACATCCTCATTACCCTCTGATTCATGTTTTAGTCCTGATAGCATGCGCACCTCTTTAAGTCCTTCAGGCACATTTTCAAGATCAATATTGGGATCTTCTTCAAGATTAGAATTAGAATCCTTACTTTGAGATTCATATTTCTCCTCCTCCTCTTCGAAGGGTTCCGGGTCAAAATCCTTACTAAGAGGTTCATAATCTGGTTCATCCAGCTACTCAATGTTGACAGAATAATTTTCTAAGTTATCATTACTGCTAGAAGCCTCTTGCTTCATATTTTCCTTGAAAAATAAATAAATAAATAATTTAGAAATATTTTTTTTACAAACTCATAAAAAAATATTAGATAACTCAAAAAATAAATTCTTGTTCTATCTCAAAAAATATACAAATTATATATCAAAATGAAGATCTTGAATTTAGGAATTTTTTAAGACCAATTTTGTCCAATTTTGGTTCCACATGCACCCATACGTGCCCCAAGAAGATGTTAGATCAAGAAATACTTAAAAAAATATATAGTCACTCTCGGGGAAGGCGCGTGCACAACACGTGCTGCTTATCCTCCTCTTACAACGACACGTGTCGAAATATAGTCTTCCACGCACCACCAGATTCATGGTGGGGTCATGCACGCGCCGAATGAGTGAGCCAGTGGGTCCCACGAGCCACATGTCCTCTTTATGTATATTTTTTTTATTTAATTAATATATATATATATATATAATTTTTTTAAACTGGGTCAGGTTGATGAACCTGACCCATAGACCCATGAACTTTTGTTTTTGTTTTTTTTGGTTGGGCTTCTAGGCCCAAACCTTTCCTCCTTATTAGTTTTCTTTTTTTTTTTTGGCTTCTGGGCTCGTAGCCCAAAAACCTTTTTTTTTTACAACACATCAAAACGACATGTCATTTGGATGAAGACAGAAATAACACATCGTTTCTGTCGTCGTCTTCCTCCAACTGGGTCAACTTGACCTGGTTCCTCCAGCAGGTCAGGTCCGTCAGACCTAAAACTTCCGGAGACAATATCTCCTCCATCCGATCTCCGTTTTACTCATTCTTGGTGTCGTTTTCATCATTTTTTTTGAGCTCTACACATTTATGCAATTCTTTTATTCAAAAACTTATTTTTTAAACACCTATTATTTAGTTCATTTTCAGTCTTTATGCTTGTCACTGTTGATTGCATGCAAAACGTGTATGGCCATATAAGAAACATTCATATTAACCAAGAAGCATATTAATACATTTATTTTGATAGTGATAATCTTAAAGATAGACAAAGAAGATCGAAGTGTAAACACAATAAGAACATAAAAAACTAAACTTAGAGATTTACGTGTATAGAGTTAAGCAAATCATTATCAGTTCTTTAGACATAGGAAACACATTCCAGGAAAGATGAAAGCTCTGATACCAATAAAAGAAACAAAGGAGGAAAAAACATACCTTGAGTCGTTAATTCACACGTACATATGCGGGAACAAAGTTACACCAGTCGAACTTCATTCGGGTACACAACAAACGCACTCTCTGAGAGAAAAACCTTGTAAGGAGAAAAATGAGACCGATGAAAAACCGAGAGCATTCTGTGTTTCTCTTTTTGCAGAGAATCCAAAATTTGAACAAACTGAAACCACACCCGTAACCACCTCTTATGGGAATGTGTGACAGTTTCTCCAACCGCCCAGGTTTCAAATTCAAAGGTTGGAGAATATTACATTTTAAGGCCCTGAGTAAATCGCATTTTGAACCTAGACATTTTTCATAATTCTCATAAGAGCTCCATTTCTCAATTTGGGCTTTTATATAGGCCTGATCCACCAAGGGTGGATAACCTAACAGATTCAAAATTAAAACTGGTGAATTGCAAGCCTTTATTTGACTCTCAAGTAAAAAAAGAAAAACCTTGGGATCTATTGTGCCTTGAAACGCCATTTTAATGCTCTTGTGAGTTCAAAACCCCCCTAAGTGTGATTTATTCGAGTTTGTCTTTGCCTCCCTATACCATAGATCCTATTTTTAATCTCTTGAAATAAGCGTGCTCATAGATTAGCAGGATTTGATGGCTACACTTGTTAGTTCTATTGTTATCACTTAAAAGATCCTAAATCCTCATGTAGCTCATTGTTGTTGGCTGAAAAAAAAAAATTGTTGTTAGCTTGGAGTTTATGCTTTTGGTGTTTCCTTAAAAGGATCAAATCAATTATGTTTGCTATCCTAATTAAGCTTAGCATAATTTTGGTCATTCCTATCATGGCTTTAGTTAAAAATAGTGTAGAAATTATTGTGAATTGTGCCCAAGTGCTAGATTGGATCCTTGAAATGACTTTGGTGGAATTGCTGTAAATGATTTTCCCTCAAGATTCTAATATGTATTAAAAGATGTTCTGGAAAGAATATGATTAATGTTCCATTTGCTGTCTTTATCAATTTAAGTCCCATCATGGTTTTCTCTTAAATAAAGTTGTTGATATTGTTTGATGGTACTTGATCTAAGTCTTGGTAAATACCTATTATCAGTATGATTGTGGTTCTCCATGTAATTCAAGTCAAGTTGCTATTGTTAATCATTTTCAGCAAGCTTTTAATATGTATTACATGTTGGTGAAAACTCCATATGAAAATCTGATTTGCTCACCTAAATGTTTGATCTGGTTTGGGCATTATACTGTCACATTTTTTGGCTCTAAAACAATGAAGAAATTGTTGTGTTTGTTCTTAAAAAAATAGATTTCAAATAAAGATAGTGCCTACTGTACTAATTAGTTCAAATTGATTGTTGGCATATTCCTATCATGTTTTGGCCAAGGAAAGTGAAGAAATTGATGTGGTAATTGTTTAAAAAAGAGAGACTCACAATAATATATATTTTTTGTGGTCATAACTTGTTTGAACTGATTTTTGGATATATTCCTGCCACAGTTTTGTCTCAAACAGGAAAGGAAATTGTTGTAATTATTAGACTAGGTGTTGAATTGGATTTGAAATAAATTCTCTTAGCATGAAAGAGCATGCTAATATGTAGAGGCATGAATTTTGTCTCTATATCAGCCTAAGGGTCCTTTACTTGTCTAAAATATTGTTATACTCATATATACCTTATGGCACTTTCTATTATGATTGCGTGCACGATTCCAATTATTATGACGAGCCTATCTTATAAAGGGTTGGGGGGAGAAAGTTGGATTCTTGTTAAAATTGAAATCCAATTAAAGAAAGAAAAAAACAGAGAAAATGAATTGAATAAGAGAGGATTTTTTTTTTTATTATTTACTTGCCGTATGAGATTTTAAGAATTTCCTCAAGTATTTAGAATGATCCCACATTGTGTAAATTAATAAGATTTCACAAATAAGGGAATCCAAATTGTAAATATTAATATGGGTTCCAATGGGCCATTATTAAAATTAACTCTTTTTTTTATAATTTAAATTAATAAAACATTTAAGTCTTGTGCGAGATTCCAAGAATCTTGACAGTCTTAAATCAATCACATCATCATGTAGAATAATAAGTTCTTGCAAATTTCATGATTAATAATTTATATAATAAATAAATAAATGGATTTTGTAAATAATAACATAATCAACATTTTATTAATAACAATTAGATCTTTTGGTCATGTTAAAATTTTTGAATCTCTATAAACCTTTAGGATAATCATCTTACCATGTAAGTTAATAAAGTTTTACAGGTATAACGATTAAGATTTTTATGTTTAAAAATATAAGTTGTATAATTACGCATTAAAATATATTTAAAATATATAAATTATTTAATCCTTTATTGTGTGAGGATTTTGAATCTCAGAAGATATTTAGGATAATTTTATTACCATATAAGTCAATAAGATTTTGCAGATATGATGATTAAAGATTCTTAAAAAAAACATGTATATATGTGCTTAAAAAATTATTACTGATACTTAAAAATATAAGTAAATTAAGTTGTTAGACTCTTTTATCGTATGAGATTTTAGAATCTTCATAGATATTTTGAATTATTGTATTATCATATGAGCTAATAAGGCTCTGCAGGCATAATAGTTAAATTTCAAAAATAATAAAAGAAAAAAAATAATTTTGATCTCTTTTCCTTTTTCTTATTTAAATATTTCAAAAAATTGAGAAAATAATTAAAATTAAATTACTTTTTACAATTAAAAACATACGTATTAAAATTTTAGAAAATTATTTTATTTGCAAAATAAATTATTTTTAATTAATTTCTCTTCAAAAAAAATATTTTCACCAACAAACTTTCAAACCCGAACTACGTAGACTTTGATCCCCATCACATGGTATATAGGACTCAAAGTCTAATTCTGAGTCAAGTCTTTCCTTGTAAATAAATAAATATTTTTTATTTTATTATTATTATTTTTAAACACGTGAATAAGAAAGGGATAATTAAAATGATTTTAAAACCATATTAATTTAACACAATTAATTTCAGGTAATCGGGTGTTGTGAGATACTTAACACCTTCCCTACACTTAATTGACTCTCAAATCTGTTTCTAATTTTGCAAACCATCCTTATCTCCTTTAAATGGTTTCCCGAGATTTTTCTCAAAATTTTGATGGCAGCTCCTACTTTACCGATTTTCGCTCTGAAGGCCGGAACCTCTACTCTTGCTCACCGTCCGCATAGCATATCGAGTGCGACAGTGCCTATTGGGAATTTTTAAATGAACACATCCAAGTATTGGGGAAAAAGAAATTACCATTATACAAATTCACGCTACAAAGAGAAATAATAATATTAATGGGAGGCTTCATATATGAATCATACAAATTATTTGTTTCTCGAGCACAATCTCCCAATAGTACAACATTGATAGATCTTTATCTTGATTTGATAAATAAAAATTGTTATCTACACATAAACAAACTAAGCAACAGTCAAAAAAATCATTAACAACATAACAAACTCTTCCTCAGCAATAGTGAAGGATAGCATCTTCTTGTGTGAAGCCTCACTTTTGTGATTTTGAACATTGCCAAAAACCTTGCAAGAATCCAATCACATCTATAATAAAGTTAACAACATTGTAAGATAAGAGACCTATAGACCCATAAGATAAACATTACCAATAAGGTCATCTACATTGTTGTTCTTATCTTCAAAAAGTTTATTAGCCCTTTGAGTGCATTTTTTATTAGAACAAAATGGAATTACCATTCCATAATATTTTTACATGTGCTTTGCAAAATGTTTTAGCTTGGAAATTGATTTTCCATGGATGCAATGATGCCTTATGTGAACTTGAATTTGGTAGGACTTCAAAATTTTTAAAGAAGTATATTTTTCCCTTGCCCATATCTATATCATATTGCTCAGCCTAAGTTTTATTTTGAAGGAATGCTCGAATGGTATGTACCTACAAAAAAGATTTAACAACAACTTGGAAGGAAGACAACTTTACAAGTACTTAGTAAAAAAGATCTTTGTTCTTTTACCTTTTCATCCACAAGAGTGAAGAAAATATTTTATATTCTATAAGGAGGGTTCTTTTGTTATATTAACTACTTCCTTAGAACTCAAACAACAATACAGCATCTCTCTTGGGCATTACTAATTTGGTTAATGAAGGCATATGTAATTTTACCTTGACGTTATCAAGACATTTCGCACAACACTATCATGGTAACTAAGATTAAATAAATCCTTATATTAAGTTACCACAATAGAAGAGCTTAAAAACAAGAAGATTTAGTTTAAAGATTGAGATTCTAGAAAACCCTTTTGAAAAATTGTTTGAGCTCAAACATAAGGTAAATTGTCAATTAAGAAGTCACGAAAGCATAGTAAATAAGTAAACAAACAAAAGATAACACAATAAAGGAAAAGTGGCATTCTACCCAAAATACTCTAAAATGACACAAAGATGTGAGGGCCCTCTCTATACCATAGTGCACATACCCTGTACTATGGCATGCGCACCTTACACCAAGGCACACTGGCTTTGTCATAACAACATTCTATGGCTAACTTTTAAAGTGCACCATCTTGTCATCCAACGTTTGATTCAAG